AAAGTTTTGGTGGTTGATTTATTTTCTTATGAAAATCTTCTGGCATCTTATTTTGGCCCGCTAGAATTTTATAAATTGAAATTTTTTTTCTCCATGGTCGTATGGTTGCTTGATCTTGGCTGTGCACACTTGTTGGAAGCATGCATAGAAGTGTATGTAATGATCTATCTCCTCTAATATGGTTATTCAGATACGGTGGCCAAAAGAGTGAAGGTTTAGTTGTTTATGTTGTCCGAGATATTTTAACCTTTCTTGGTTGAGGCTGTGTGATTTTAGTTGTATGTCTGGTTGCAGATTTTTTGTCATTATCCTTGATTGTAATCAACCTTCTGTGCACTTATTACTCTTTCTTCAGTTCCCTCATCTTCTATCCTTTTATTCCTTATACCACTTCATGTTGGATATATCAGATACTTCAGTCTGCCACACTGGGCATATAATGGAAACATGTTTAACTGGATGCACCTGACTTCAGCTATGATCTATCCTGAATTATTTGCTGGTACATTGGTGATTATAGTTGCACAGTGATGAGACCTGTAAATCCTTTTTAAGAAGAAAAGAAACCTGTAACTTTAAATGTTTGTTAGTTGCAACTGTGAAAAGTAATGTTGATTTTCTCTTATTCATTACATTATCTTGCTTTTCTAAAGATTTCTGAAAGAAATAGCGATGGAGATGCTAAGATTTAATGTTCCGTTTATCAGGTGGCAGACAATGCTACACTTTATGGTGTTTGCTTACATGTGTCCGAGATTGTTCAGAGGCCACCTGGTATTTTAAGTGCCTCATCACCCCTTACACAGTCATCTAGAGGATGCAGCCGGTTTTTGGTTTCTGCACCTCGATGCTATTGCTTGCTTACAAGAGTTCCTTTTTTTGAGTTGCACTTTGAGATGTTGAACAGGTCAATGCTAATTTCAAACACCCCGTAACTCGTAAATCTAGTGTTCAGTTACTTGTAAGGGAGGCACTGATATGTGTTCCTATCGATGTGATGAATTTATCAGTTTTACTTACTTGATGCAGTATCATCGCACAAGAGCGTCTGAACCGAATAACACATTTTGTCAGTGAGTTGTCTACTTCTGTTTATTCCCCTTCAATAAGTAAACTGCATGATCAGATGAATGGGAATGCTGACTCCCCTGATAGGGAGTATTTTGATGATTGGACGGCTTCTGCAATACCTGTTGATAGAGCCTTGGCCCTCACTGCAGCTGCTGCTGGAATTACCTTAGATGATGAGATCCCATCCTTTTCACAAAGGACACCAGAACCCCGTTCTCCTGACAGTTTGACTGCCAGCGACTCTTCAGATGTAGGTCATTCAAGGGAATTGGATAGAGATGTAAGAAAAAGTTCAAACTATTTTGATGACAATTCTTCTGAGGTCTCAGAGAACCGATCTGGACCTTCGGATCGAGCATATGCAAGTTATGAAAGCTGCCAAGCTTCTCCAGAGATTGGAACCTTTTTCTCCTCTAGGAGCCGCAAATTAGAGCGCATTGGGAGTTCTGACTCCTTATTGGTCAGGTGGTAGATTTGTAATTTTTGTTGGATTAAAATAAGTTTAGTTCTTTCCTGCATGATAATAGCCTATTTTTATGCAAGTATCTCCTTCAAATTTGCTCCTTTATGGTTACCACTAAACTTTCAGTAATACATTTTTATCTTTGGCAGTCCAGCTAGAAGCATAGCCTCAGAGGACGAGGATGACGAACTTTTCGCAAATAATGAAAAAGATTTTGGAGATGATTTGATTATGGAATGGGCTAGGGTTAGTACATTTTCGTTGTTTCACATAGCAATTTGTTCACATTAATGAGATTGTCATTTGATTTTTTTTTTGGTGCATCTTTGACAGGAAAATAAGATTGATTTGCTACAAATAGTTTGTGGTTATCATGCTCTTCCTCTTCCTCCACGAGGTTGTGAAATTGTATTTCAGCCTCTTGAGCATTTACAGGCTATTGAATATATACGTCCTCCAGTGTCTGCCCTTGGATTTTCTGAAGAATATGTAGACTTATTTGAAACTTCTGAGGTATTCTTTTGGTTGTTTCTATCTTGTAAAGTAACAGTGAAAATAGTGTCACTTGACATTTTTGTCTTGGTAAAAGGTCAAAGTGAAGTTGGCTGCTGCTGAGGAAGCTCTTGCACTCTCAATATGGACAACTGCTACCATTTGTCGTGTTCTCTCACTTGAAAGTGTAATGTTCTTTATGGTGCAATTTGTCTCCTTTGAGAGTATGGATGGAAAAAAACTTGAAATGCTTTTTATACTCTTCCTTGAGTTTTCCAAAATGCAATTATTTAATTGAATTCCGCAATTATTTTGACATTTTATTATTTAGTTCGGACATAAAACTTTGTTTGTAATGGATTCCTTGTTGAGTTCATTTATAAATAAAATGAAATTCCATCTTACGGCCCATTGGGGAAAGAAGTATAATGCAATTTGGTTTGTGACTTGACTTCAATAATGGTGCTTCTTCCAGATTTTGGCGCTGCTTGCAGGAGTACTGTTAGAGAAACAAGTGGTGGTTGTATGTCCAAATCTGGTGTGTTAATGGTGTGACTGAACAAATTAATTTAGCTCAAAACTTCTAATATGGTTGTGGAATTGTTTTATTTTCACTTGTTTATGTCAAGCTATTAACAATTCTTAATGAGTATGAAATGGAATTGATTGTTTGACATGAATTCCCATTAATGCAGGGTGTTCTGTCAGCTACAGTTTTATCTCTTGTTCCGATGATTTGTCCATTTCAGTGGCAGAGTCTTTTGCTTCCAGTAAGTATATAAGATTAAGGAACTTCTAGTTCCTGTTAGAATCTTTGAAGCCAACAGGGTTTCACTTGGATATGGCTGCGTACTTTTATCTTAACAATAGTATATCATCATGTTATTTCTTCCCAAAGTAGTCTTAACATGTGCGCAATCCCGGAATTGGCAAACCATTTTAGGAATTTGGATTTCCATTTTTAGTTTTTGAGAAAGAAATAATAGTAAAGTGCTATCTAGCTATGAAAAGGTGATAAGGATAAATTAGGTTATTTTACCTA